AAGACCTCCAGGTTCCATAGGGTTTTCCTGGACTTTTCAGGACTTGGTTTCTTAGGCTGGCGTGTGGCACCGCTTTCAGTTCAGTACACCCTATCCTAAGTGTGTGAAACCCTTGGAATCACATAGTCTTTAGTTTTAACGCAGGGGGGCACCGGGGTGCTGATGAGACCGGTGTTAGCAAAGACGCTCATCAGACGCCGGCGATACAGCTGGAGACGTCCAACTGCGTACCTGCCGAGTGATGACTTCCAATTCCTCCTGGCATGCTTGTAATTCTGCAGTAAAGTGCAAGTGAGCTTGACTGACTTGCGCTTGCAACTTGTCGCGCCTTAGAGGTTTTGAGGACTTTCAGACAACCTGACTTTGAGACTTTGAGGATGTTCAGACCACCTTACTTGTATACCCTTTGTCCCAGCTCGCAGCGAGCGTAGGAGCCTTATGGCAGAGGTCAGTTAAACTTTGATGGTTTTGATGGAGCTTGGGCAGGTTGAACGCCCATAGTAATCCGCAGCATTTTTGCATGGCAGCTTTCCCAAGATCCATTGGGATCTGTCGGGGCCTTATGTGCGCACACAGCATGCGCCTACAAAACTAGGCCAGGCGCTCCTAGGTTCTTTTAATGAGGTTCGGTTTCGTTCTTTTAATGAGGTTCGGCTTCGTTTTTTTTCCGGCCCCTTCATTTGGTTCCCCTTTCATTTCTTCCCTTGCGCACACTTTTCCTTTCCTCTTTCTTTTCATGTATTGTCTGCCTTCACGTCTGGTCACCTCATCCCTTTCTTTCTTTTTGCGCACACATCGCTTTAGCGCACACGTGCGCTCGTACATGAAAACCAGGTCTGAGGTCGCCCAGGTTGTCAAAAGGAGGTTTGGCTCATCGGTTGTCTCTGTTCACTTGGTTCCTTTTCATCGCAGCCACATACACTTGTCCTGTCACGTCTTCTTCTCATGTCTTCGTCCTCTTGTTTTTTGTGCGCGCACGCGCACTAGTCTGAACCTTGGATCTAGGCTTTGGCCCCCCCCACCTCGAGGGCGTGTGTGTGAAACCCTCGGAATCACAGTGTCTTTAGTTTTAACGCAGGGGGCGCCGGCGGTACTGACGCTCGTCGCACACCTGTGATACTGCGTACCTGCTGAGTGATGACTTCCACCTCTTACTGGCCCACGCTTGTAACTAGAACAAGACCTCTCTCTTGGCTTTCGCTCTGCAGTGGAGTGCCAATGAGCTTAACTGACTTGCGCTTGCAACGAGACTTCGTGATGTTCAGACCCTTACTTACCCTTTGTCCTGCTGTATTAGGTTGTTGAGTTAGGCTGGTGGGGGCAAACCGCTATTCAGTACCGTGCGCATTTCCCTAATGGGTTCGTGATCGTGCTTTCTCATGCGTTTGTCCTCGTCTGCCAAATTTGAAGTGGGTTCACAATTGCGTAATAGATGGGCATAGTTTGGGACAAGGACTTTTAAAGGTTCATGTCCAGTAAAAGGTTTCTATATAGTGATGACTGATCCAATGGAAGTGGGGTCAAGACTGATATGTTTGTCATTTTCCAGGTGTGCATGCGTTTGGCTACGTTGTGAAGCTCGAGCGTATGACGGCGATGGATGGGGAGTTTGCAGGATGTATCACCAAATACATTTTTAATGGTGCGCACGGTATGCCAAACCTTTTCCTTATCATGACCTATTGTCAGATGGAGTTGCTGCAAATGGATGAAGAGGAGAAGGCAAGATGGCTGCAGGTCGAAGCGAATAGAAATTCTAGTTTCAGGACGCTTTATGACCTTGTCGGGAAGAACCCGACCCAAGTCATCCTGGTGGACAACCAGCGCGATGAAGAAATGCAAACTACTTATGGGCACTGGCGGCAGATGATTCATGACATTGAGAGTCCTTTGGAATGGAAAAATGATCACGGGTGGAAGAAGTTGAGTGATCTCATAAACCAACAAGAGGAGCTTGCAAGAAATGAAAAAAACAACTGCTGACGTCGCAGGAAAAGATCAAGCAACTAAGAAGTGAGCTGAATGACGCGAGAAACCAAGTCGTCAATAGCATCCAGACCGAAGCAAGAGCAGATCCCGACAACAAGGGCGGCTGTTTTGGAGGCAAATGTCGAGTCTTTGTCCAGGAGAAGGGAATGATTTGCATGAGCGACTTGACATGTGGAGATGCTCAGATTATGTGATTGAATTACATTTTGTTTTGACCAGACTACTTCGGACTTGTATGGTATCAGAAGTAGTTGAGACTTTGTCCTTTGGGTGGCGGTGGCAGTACAGGATGTGGTTCGCACAGAGCGTGGATGGTCTCCGGTTGTGGGATGGCTGCACCGCTCCATCACCGACACCGTCGACATGTTGGAAATGGTCACTTCCATGGGAACGCTAGTCGCAACCCCGGATTCTTGCCAGAGTTCGTTTTCTGTGCGGTGCATTTGTGTTTGCAGTACCCTAACCCATGTTTTTCAGGATCTCAACACTTGTCACTACCCTTGCCCTGTAGAGCCACATCCCACTGCTCGATCACCTGAGAACCACTTGTTCTTCCGACCGGATGGCACGGCAGTGGCAGCAGGGCTCCTTCAGCCGGGTGACCAGTTGGCTGCGTTGGAATCAAGTGCTTGTGTGTTGAGCACTCGACCCGTTCAAAACCAAGGCCAGGGTGTTCCGAATAGGTTTGGTCAGGTTGTGCAGAAGCTGAAGAGTCTGGAGTGGGCCATGGAGTTGTTTGTTTGCTGGGCGAGTTGAGGAGGAATCTACTTGATCCACCCCGCAGTGTGGAACGCACATATCCATGAAATTATGTCAATATGAGTCGCAAACAATGTTTGGTGCTGCTTTTTAACCTGCCAGGCTATTTTGCACCTTTGACAGAGGAAGGCCAGCTGGAAGTTGGTGGCGTTTCTGCTTCCTGCTACATCGAGATCTGCCTTTTCGGATGGAAGGTCCCACATCACGTGATGAACGTTGTCATGTGGCCCTTCCGCGTGAACCCCGCATGGATGCCCAAAGCATGGCGCCTGAAAGTCGCAGCCCTGAAGTCACTGATGTGTGAGCAGATCCTTGTGCCCCTCTGGCAGAGCGAATCTCGCCTGATCTGCCTGGGCAATACTTGTTTGTTTATTTCATGTTGTATACCAGGCAGGTAACTTTGTCTTCGACTGGCCTCTTGAGCCCAAGTACCCTCGATGATCAAAATCCCTCATTGACAACCATAGACTTTTGCTGAGGGAAAAAGCGGGCTGGAGTCTTCAGCAAACAGTCTGCAGCGGATCAGCGCAGTGGAGTAAATGCTTCTTGACTGGAAATAGGCTGGCATTGTACCGAGTTTGCTCTTGTTCTTCACCCAATGGAAGCCTAGCCAAGAAGCAACAGATTGAAGTGCCCTTCTCATTTGAATCTTCAGCTTTCAACGCAGAGAACATAACCTCAGAAACTGTAAACTCTTGAATCAGACGATTGAGGCTGCTAGTCTGTGAGACAGGCAGTATGGACTAAAATATCCTGGGGTGGTCATTGCCAGCAATTTGTTCCATGCATGGTGCCCTCTGTTTAGATTTATGGATGGGAGGGATGGCTTCTCAGGGTTCTGGCGCAGATCCGTTTTTGTGGCTCATGTGAAAAAGCTCGATTTTGCTGATTCAAAGCCATCGAAACTCCCTTGCGCAGCAAGAACAGAGTGGCCCGTGCACTTGCAGCCTGCAACGGCCCTTTGCAAGGAATTCGTTAGAACTATATATGTGTGGGAGATCTCAGCTGACCGGAGTGTTAGATCTGCTGGTAGCAGGTCTTTTTGGATACTCTCTGTAGGTCATCCGTCTCTTCCTTGCTGTAGAGACTGATTTGAGCTCCCTTGATCAACGTCGCCTGAGTCAGGCAAACCCAGTTTCCTTGCCCAACTCCCGGGGAAGCTGTGTGGCGAATCGATCCCATAGGGCTTGATTCGCCGTATTTTCCACGCACGAAACACCCGCGGAGGGGCGAGGAATGAGTGAACACAGGAACGCATGGATGGAAAAGAAGAAAGAGCTTTGAATGACACGCACTTGAAAAGCCGAACCTGAGAAGAAGTGACTTTTCGTGCCTAGGCGACTGACTTTGGGATCTGACTTTATGCTTAAAACGGAATAGTAGGCCATTGACATGGCCACTCACCAAACAGGTCCCTCAGCCGTTTTTTGGGATGTTTCTGAACCGGTATGTTTGGTCTGACCCGTTCACCGCTCCGAGGCCTCAATTCCAGTCTTTGGGCCTTGACTCAGCGCAGTCTGTAAGAGCGGTCCGGCTCCTCAGGCCAATTTCTGGCCTGGCAGTGGTGGTCGAGTCCAGCCGTTACCCCCCTGTTTTGTTCAAGACCTGGTCCCAAAAACAGACCCCAAGGCTCTTGAAAAACTCTTTATGTAGACCCCTCCAAGAAAGAAGATGGATCTGTCGAGGGGACGACGATCAGCTCTCCATCTCCCGAGGCGCTGGCGCAAGTCCTGGGCCCTGTGGCCAAGGCTTTGGGCCGAGATGTCCGGAGCCCCGAAGTGGCGAAGGCACCGGCGCACGTAGGGGCTTGGACGGGGTGGTATTTGTTTGCGTAACTTACGATTCTTCTTTTGACGAAGGGGAGACAGCTGGGAGATGAAGAGGTCGAATTTGAGTGGTTTTCTGTAGAGGGTTGCTTTGAAGGGGTGATGTGATGGAAAGGGTTCGAAACGATTGCACACCAGCCTGTGAGTATCCCATCCAGCCCTTCCCAACACCAAACATACCAGTCACAAAGTTGTTGAGGAGTGTGACATTGGCCAGTCGATGTTCATTTCTTTTCTGCTAACAATAGCAAAGTTCTTGATGCCTGTCAACATAGTACCTATACATATGTGACATGTGTAAATCAGTCGTTCTCGCCAAGTCCCCACGTTTGGTGAGGTCACACAGCGACAGCTGCTCAGTGCGACTCCTCAGCGAGGTTTTTGGGAGTCTCCATGTGGAAGCAGCGCATTTGAGAACCAAACTGAAAGCTTCCAACATTCTTTGAGACTAGCTGGCACAGACGGGAAAACGCAGGAAACACCGCCCCCCCTTTGTTTGACATGCCCTTGTTTGGCTGAATGACCGCGGTCAATGCACCGGAAGTTTGTAGAAAAGTGAACCCAGGTCTCATCTCCGACCTGATGAAGGAGCGAAGCTCTGGTGATGGAAGTGTTGATGTTCGATCATGTGAAATCGTTTGGTTGCGTTAGTTTGGGTCACACCCCACCAGCCGAGCCATTCCTTGAAAGGCCCGGTGCACACCCAAAGGCATTGAAGATGCTAAGAGGTTTTGAACCGACATCGGAAAACACTTGCAGGCAAAAGGCATCCTTTCGGATTTGGAGAACTACAACCGCATGAATCAAGTGCTAGACCAGCAACTTTGGCCAAACCACTTCCCAGTCCCGTTCCGCTTCCTTCAGCCCTGCCTTTCGCAGCTTCGAGCAGGACGAGTTCCATGACGTGCGACTGAACATCGTCTCCCATGCGGGTCTCATTTGCGAAGTTTTGAGCGTTGATGGTCTCGTCGGGAACCTCATGGGGCGAAGTTTTGCGCGGGGCTGTCCTGCAGGTGCTTTCTTGTGGATGGACCGGTACACTTTTTGCCGAAAACCTGCGGGCCCTGGGGTGATGGGTATTCTCCAACTCCATGACAAACCACATTGTCCCCCACAGTCCCCAGGCTGTGTCACCTGGGAAAACCTTTCGAGTTTCCAGAGACGCCATCCAGGTCCATTCGCTGCTGCACACCGTGCAGAATCTCATCATGGACAATCATTGGCGAATTCGTGGGCTGTCCCAGACGAAGCGCTCAGAGCCGTTCGAACCGCAGGTGAGCTGGGGAATCGGGTAGGACCACCAGGACGGCGCCAGTCTTCCCCCTTTCGAACTTCACAGTACCCACCTACCTAGACCTGAGCTTGACCGGCCCGGTCTCTACACCACAGGACCGCCAGGTGAGGTGCGCACCTCCTCACCGCACCGATCGACAGTCGGAGCGGTCCGAGGCCAAAGCGTGGTGGAGCAGGTCCCCAAGCTCGTGCAGAGCTCAGGGTCCCACCGTGTGGTCCATCGATGGGGGAATTCTTCCGTTCCGCCTTTGGCCTAGGCATGGCCAACTTGGCTCCGTTGTGGCATGAGTTTTCCATGAGTTGAAAGGATGACATATCATCTTACAACATATCGAACAGTTAAAGGTACAAGACCTTGACAAGGCCACAATGCCGACCTCGTGCCACTTTTCTTTGCAGTTCCTTTTTTGTTGGGCTCTCGGAAGTTCTTCCCCTCATTTTGGCGGTCCACACCTCTCCCACACCCCTCCGCCCCCGTCCGAAGCGAAACCCGTCCAAAGCGGTCCGTCGGCTCGTCTCCAGTCCCGGCTCTTCGGCATGGAGATGTTCCAGTCCAAGCTCGAGGACGCGTCGGTTCCAAGCGGAGCGGGGCCGGAGCGGGGTGAAGACGCATCGGAGAGACGCCCCAAAAAATGGGACTCCACTTGGGCAGAAGAGAGAAGAGCAGCCTGTCAGAGTGGTGAAGACTTCTACCAGATGTGTTTCTTCCAAAGAGTGGAATGAGAGGAGGATGGAGAGAAGGCATCTTGACTCTTGTGGTGATTGGTCTGGGTGGTGAAAGCATCCGAGAGATACATGTCTTCTTCGTTCTGTTGGGCTGGAAGTCGTGCCCGCTGATTAAATCCAAGCCAATGCAAGCCAATCTGCACGCAACCTGCCGATGATGCCCTCCACCACCTGAGATGCAGTAGGCTCAGTAGGCTCTCTCCATCGACTGTTGTCCAACAGAACCTGTGGAAGCACGGGATGTATTTGGTCCATCAACCAAAAAGTGATAAGTCCCGGACTGCGAAGAAGAGCTGACACGTTCTTGGGTACGGTACGTATGGTCTCAGCAGAAGTTCCGAACTTGATATATAACTTGATCCTGCTTCGGTTCATGTCTTTCTTCCTTTTCCACGCCCGCTCCAAACACCGGTGGCCCCGCTGACCGCCCCGCCTCCGCGCGCAGAACATCTTCCTCTCCAGCCTCCGCGACTCCGTCCATTCCGTGCGTCAGGCGCGGAAGGACCTTCCGCCGTCCCACTCCTTTTCGACGTCAGAAGGAGAAGGAGACAAGTAGGGCAAGAGGTCAAACGCATGTGAAAATCATTTGGTCACGAATTGAAATAGATGGATCCTTTCTTTTTTGGACACCATACGTCTTTATGATGTTCTCTTTTCGGCTTCTACTCCTATGGGTGCCATTTCAGTTGAACGTCTACGGACCTATCCAACCCTACCACACCTCCCACTTCTATGGGAGCCCGTGCCAACCCGGTCACGGCTCCGAGGCCGCGATTCAGCACTTGAAGGACATCGCTGACACCTTCGGTTCCCAATGGACCGTGGAACATTTGTTGCCCGGGAGCACAAACCGAAGGAACGGCCCAATATGGAGCGGCTTCCAAACTTCTTTTCAGGCAAGCAACCCAAAAGTGCCTTTGGGAACAGCTTGGTGCTGCCGGTGCTTTGGAGATGGTTTCTTTCCGGTGTCTTTCTCTCCGTGGAAGTGAGTTTTGTTTTTTGGGAGAACCTCTCTGTGAATGACGAACTCTCAACAAACGAATCATGACCTTTTTTCCAAGGCCCAAATTGGTCGAGCAGTACTCCGGCAGCGTGGGCTATGCCAACCGCGTCACCACGTCCTGGAGCTCAAGAGTAGAGGGCGATGGGGACGCTGGTTGCACCGGGCGTTGCACCATGTAGACGTGAGGACGTGAGTAAAACGTGCTTTAGCAACCGTAGTGTTGGTAGAAACTCCACTGATTTTACTCTTCTTATATCATGTTGCATCAACAATGAAGTGACATGACAGCCTAGATGGGTAGATGATGGGGATATGATGTGAGCGAGCCAACGTTAGTTGCCCTTGCCCCTTGAAAGGCATACTGGGGATGAATCACAGTGGCTTTGAGGACTCAGCAACTCTTCCAGTGTGAGCACGGTTGGGAGGAACTAAATTGGACCACGGGCGAATGCCAACATGTTTCAAAATCCGCGCAACATTCCTACCACTTACTTTACAAACTTGCACTGACACACGTACTCTGTATTGATGCGCTGGCTCCACTTCATGCATATGCACCTGGCCGCCAAGCAGGGAAGCCTGCATCACGCTGTATGCATGCTGTTGAGGCTTCATGTACTGCCACAAGTCTCCTTCGTGATGACGTAGGGAGCCCTCAGAAGGCTGTATTTTTGAGAGATGAGACCCGAAGGCTGGTATGAGGTGCTCTGGTTGGTGCAAGAGATGCATCATAGCCCCTCAATGCAGCTGAAACACACAATGCGTCAATAGGTGCGAAAGCTTTATTGTTCATTTCAAGTGGTCAAGGATTTGTATCTTCAGCCACTAGCGGAAGCTCATTTAACTAATGTTGAGACGTTTATGACGTTTCCTTTTCTCGTTTTTGGGGTTTCTGTTTGTTCTGTTTTAAGTGAACGTAAGTGAAGCCGTCTCTCAGGCCAGAGCAGCTGGTGCAATGCATCGTGCCATTGCTTGTGAGGGCCACCAAGGTGCGAGCCCTGGCACCAACCTGCGAGTGGTTTGACCTCGTCTTAGACCTGAGCCTTTCCAAGCTCCTTTGCATATGTCATGTTTTTCTCCAGTCGTCTACACGACTGGCCTTAGGTCACTTGCACAAGCGATGATTTCATTCAGCTGCACAGCTTTCTTTTGTGGATGTGCCTAGATAGCATATATACCCAGAATTACTGTAACAGCATCGATGCCAGGATAGCGTGCCGAACGTGCGCTTTTGCGCATGCCGCACGATCATGTGGATGTGCCTGGCTCATGTTTGTCAAGGGAGCGGACGGCTATTTTGCAGTTCAGGGAAGGGTCCAGGGAAGATGGGGGGACCCCACGCTTGAACAGACGTGGCACCTCGACGTGGCTTTCCAAGGCATCTCGGAAAGTGAAAGGTAGACAATCCCCAGGTGGCAGAAGGTGAAACTGTGGATCTGTCCGTGTTTTGAGATTTGTAATGTCTTTTGCCCCTAGGCCTTGGGGCGCCATCCGGTCGTCATGTGTGGCTGTTCTCGGAATTGCTGGCCAGGATGGAGCATCACAACCTTGGCGCACAAAACATCAACACCATCATCAAGCCTTGCTTGTCTGAGCCGGGCCGCTCAGGAATCCGAAGCCTTGAGATCTTGTTGTGACGAGCCCGTTGTGTGAAAGAGATGGACCCCAAACAGGTTATCAAAAGTTCTTTGATGAGACAGACGAACCAACATACAGCTTTCCAAGCGATGACCATTTAACGGCCGGAAGTCGGCAGAAGTGGCGCCGCCGTGTTCTTTGTCTCTGATTCTGTGTGAAACGGAGGTTGGAACATGATCCGGACATTGACGTCCAGTACTACGCACAAAGGGCTTTGCTGCTTTGCGCCCGCCTTGGCGTGTGAAACGTGCGCGCGGAGCGAATTGTGTTCCATGAACTGTTGAATCTGAAAAAGCGATTCAGGAAGAAAGTCCGAATCACATTAAAATTGGGGCACCTTTTCCGATTGCTAGGCACTTCATTCGCCTCACAAAACATCCCATGCACCGCACCATGCACCTTCTCTTCAGTCGGCGAACTTTTGGACTCGAAACTCTGAGGTTGAGCCAATGCCCTTAGCAGGTCCTTTGTTGTTCCAAGGCCGCCCTGTTCTCGTATGTGAGGGCTGCAGAACAAATAGAAGTTGAACCCACTGTTGCTTTGGCAAAAGGAATTCTAAGGAGGCAGATAGATAGAGACAGATACTCAAAAGAATGACGAGAGTCTGACCTTTTGAAGCTGAAGCATCGCATCAATCCACTCCTGTGAGAGGAGCAGCTGGCCTGAGAGTATTCTTCGGATTGGTCAACATGCCGCAAGCCGCCACGGGCCCCTGAAAAGCCTGGTCTGGCTTTTTCTCAATTAGGCCTTGAAACAGACTCTTACCTCCAAGTCAGGTCCGAAACTCACTTTGGGAGTCTTTTGTTCTCAAGAATGTCTACCATATCACTTGGATTATACACTTAAACTTGATGATTGGGTCTATCTTGAGAACCTATCTAGAACATTCTATAACCAGTCTAACAAAAAACACGAAAACATCTACCACACCAGCTCGTTAGCGTTACTTCAAGGGGGGCCCCTGTGGGCGTTTCACCCGACCTGACCCGCACTTCCTGCGGAGGGGCCGTGCACGGGGAGCTGAGTGGATGGGGAAAAGACACGAGTGTGGAAGAAGAACAGAGGTGAAAATAGGTTTCGCATAACGCCAGGAGTGGTGAACATTGTGACTGAAAGAGTAGTTTCCAAGTGAAGTTTCCAGCGGATATTTTGGTGGTGCAATGCTGGCATGCACCTGCACAGGCCGGTTTCTTATGATTGAAGCTTGTGGCATTGCCACTAGTTCTGTGTTTTTTCCCAAGAGCAGTGGCCGGTGGCAAGTGCGAAATCTTCTTTTGCTCGCTTTTTTGCATGATTTGCAAGCTGCTTGGGCCCAGCATAAGCATCACCAGCATCACAAGAGCACCAAAGCGGGTCCACCATGAGAATGATATCTATTTTTGATTTGTTTTGCCAACGCTAAGCCACGCCCCTTCAAGATGTCGGCTTTGACCTCCAACCATGGTGGAAAGCACGCAACCCTTGCTTTTTCGAGTAAAATCGAAGGAAGAGGGCATGGTTGCATTTCAAACTGAAGACTATGTATCGTTGGATCTTTTCGACAAACGATAGAACAGTTCAACAAGGACAGAATCCAAAAAGCAACGGCAGCGAGCATACTTTCTCACGCTCATAGCCATCAGACTAGCCGTAGAATTAGAATCAGACATCAGTCTTTATGGTGAGCCTAGCATGCGCACCCCTCATCCAGTTCAAGCAACACTTGCGGAGCTCTGTCCTGATGGTTGTCATTCAGAGATATGCCCGCATCCCAGTTGCGCACCAGACACCAATGTCTTGCAGTCTCCAAGACGAGCAAGACGTCGTTGCACGGACATGTCGACGTCGTTGAACATGAAGAACCGACTGGAAACAACATCTCGCGAAAAATCTGTTCGAAACCAAAAGCGCCCTTTCCGACTCTCCCGAGAGCGATCCCGAGCGCCACCACTGGACGCGCCTTTTTCAGACACCGAGTCGCCGGATCCGCAGGGCGCAGCTGACCGCGACCTTGCTGCCCTCCGCGCAGAGGAGACGAGCCTTTTTGTGGGGACGTCCTCCCCGAAACGACCAGTGACGCGTTTTGGGGGGAGATGGAGAAACCCAAAGAGGCAGATGAACCCAAGAGGCTGTGGCGCTTGCAAGTTCATGTTTGCTTTCGAAACACTTCTCTTGAAGAGTGTTCTAAGCTGCTATTTCACCAGCCACCGCCATGGCCATGTATAAAATGGACAAATTGACTACGAAGATTCGGATTCAGTCTCAGTCAAGCTGGTCAAAGACACAAGACACACAAGTTGCAAAGGGATGAATCCCAACCATGTGTAATTACCACTTGGAATAGCTCACGCAGATTCCATTCCACCCTACCTTCACCCCACCTGTCAAAAAACCAACGATGCTTCGTCTCAAAGCGCTGGTCCGACAACGACGACGATCATCGTTCCAGGCCCTGCGACGACGAGAGCCCACCGTGGTCCTTGAGCCAGGAGCAGTGGCGGGTGACGACGGGTGAGACGTCTGGGTTTTAAAGTGAAGGACAAGCGACATTGGACGGGGACAGTTTCAGTTTGGACGGAATCCCTTTTGCGTGGTCAATTTTCATTCAACTAGCGGAAAGTCTAGCAGTGCTTCAACAAAGAAGCCGGAATTCATGTGGTTTTCCTTGTGCACACTTGGATCAGCTGCCGGCATGTCGTGAATTGCTGGAGCGTCTTGCAGTCAATTCACTGCCTCTTTCAATTGGTTTTCGTAGTTGGTGAGAAAAACAAAGCAGTGGCGAGGACTTGCAATCCCCCAAGCACCCCATCCCCAAGCACTCTCAAGTTCTTTTTTTCCGGATGGGCAGTCACAAGTTCCAGTGGCACACACGAGTGGCACCACCCCCCCCGGTTGGGACGGGCGCCGGCACGTTCGAGGCGTGGAGCTTGGTGAAGCGATGGCATTTGGCCTTTTTGGCCACCACCGATGCAGCTGGGGCCCAAGGAGACCAGGAAAAGAGACATACAAATTAAGGGTGCTGTACTACTGATGTCTACTGTATCATTTTTTTTTGACCAGAGTTCAGATGTCTTTGAACGCCAAAACGTGTCAAAAAATAGCACCAAACATGATCACCATTGGGGGATGGACGGATCGACGACTCGCTCGAAGCCCAAAGAGGCGGCGCTTGGTGGCCTTCGGAACGGATTTCGCTCTCGCTCCGCTCCGAAGGCCTTCATCCGCTCCGAGATCAACGGCCGCCGGAGCCGGCGGATCGTGCGGAGCGCGGATCGTGCGGGGCGGCACCGTGTTTTGAGTCCTTGGGAGTCGTGTCCAAGGTCCTCTTCGCCTTCTTCTGCGCTGATGCCGTAGGAGCTCGGCGAAAATGGTGTTGAAAGACTCGACGTTTCTTTCGTGTCTTTCTTTTTCCAGGCCTTTTGCTTCCAGATTGGTCCAATCTGCGAGGACCATGTTTTGCACATCGTTCGACCCGCATTCGCAGGAGGCGGCTTGTGGGCCTTCTGGTGCGAGGATGGTGCGAAGCGCAGCGCCGCTCCCGAGGAGGGCTCCGGCATCGGAAGCCATCGGGTGAAGAGCATGAAGGGCTCGTCTTGCAGATGAGATCATAGAGATTTGATGCTTTTCATGATTCTAAGTACTAATAAGTATGTAAGCCTTTTCAAGTTATTTTCATGGATGAACATCACAAATTTTGTTGATGAGAGGGTTTTTTTGACAGTTGAGTCGGAGTTGAACAGTTCATGTGAGGCTACGAGAGGGTAGATGAGTGCAGAGATCCTTCCAGCGAAGACACCGTGCAATTGGCCAGAAGACTTCCATCCACCCACTCATCTCATCCATGCATCCCATCCATGCCTTTCTGTAAAGGACATGGAGCACTACAAGGATGCTTGCCACTCCTTCGGGGTGAATCACTACCTCCTCTGGGGCGCGGGCATTCCGCTGGAAGGCTTAGTTTTGGGCTCAGCGTCAGGTGAGGCTCAGGCTGATGCAGGTTCATGATGCTTCGATTCATCCAGGACACTCTTTTATTCTATTTTTCGCAAGTTCACCTATTTGAAAGAAGTTCGTGAAGTTCATCCATCCTTTCCGTCAAAGCCAAGAAACTCCCAAAAGTGCCAAGTTCCACCCTTTCCGGTTTTCCGTTGTCCGGTCTGAACGAACCGCGACATCATCGGTGTCTTCGGATCGGAACGAGGTGCTGTGGTTGGCCGGGCGCGATCCCTGGTCCTTCTGGTCCGACGCCTGGCTCCTCCCCGTGTGGATGGTGAGGCCGAACGGGACAGCTGGGTGGTTGCGTGGCTGAAGATGCCAAGAAAGGAACTAATTGTTTTATTCCCCAAACAGTTTACTGTTAGGGGTTCTCAATGCTTTAAAGAATGTTCGCCTTGGTGCTGGATGGTCTGGTCGGGTTCTCGGCCGGCTTGTCTCCCACTTCCTTTCATTTGTCTCCCAGTTCTTTTCATTTGTCTCCCAGGCTGGGTGCTTGTGGTCGGGTTCCCGGCTGGCTTGTCTCCCACTTCCTTTCATTTGTCTCCCACTTCTTTTCATTTGTCCGGGCTGGGTGGCTTGTCTCCCACGTCCTTTTTTTATTTGTCTCCCACTTCTTTCTATTTGTCATTTGTCTCCCAGTTCTTTTCATTTGTCTCCCAGGCTGGGTGCTTGTGGTCGGGTTCCCGGCTGGCTTGTCTCCCACTTCCTTCATTTGTCTCCCAGGCTGGGTGCTTGTGGTCGGGTTCGCGGCTGGCTTGTCTCCCACTTCCTTTCTGGCTTGTCTCCCACTTCTTTTCATTTGTCCGGGCTGGGTGGCTTGTCTCCCACGTCCTTTTTTTATTTGTCTCCCACTTCTTTCTATTTGTCATTTGTCTCCCAGTTCTTTTCATTTGTCTCCCAGGCTGGGTGCTTGTGGTCGGGTTCCCGGCTGGCTTGTCTCCCACTTCCTTCATTTGTCTCCCAAGCTGGGTGCTTGTGGTCGGGTTCCCGGCTGGCTTGTCTCCCACTTGCTTTCATTTGTCTCCCACTTCTTTTCACTTGTCTCCCGGTTCTTTTCATTTGTCTCCCACGCTTGTGGTCGGGTTCCCGGCTGGCTTGTCTCCCACTTCCTTTCATTTGTCTCCCACTTCTTTTCAACTGTCTCCCACTTCTTTTCATTGTCTCCCAGGCTGAGTGCTTCTGGTCGGGTTCGCGCCCTTTTCCGCTGGCCATCTGGTGTCCGCCCTTTTCCGCTGATGTCCGCCCTTTTCCGCTGGCCATGTAGCATTTCTATTCGTTTGTCTCCCAGGTCTCTCACTGCTGGTGTTCGCCCTTTTCCGCTGGCCATGTAGCATTTCTATTCATTTGTCTGGTGGTGTCCGCCCTTTTCCGTCGGCCATGCAGCATTTCTATTCATTAGTCTCCCAGGTCTGTCACTGTTGGTGTCCGCCGTTTTCCGCTGGCGATGCAACATTTCTATTCATTTGTTTTTCAGGTTTGTCACTGCTGGTGTCCGCCCTTTTCCGCTGGCCATGCAGCATTTCTATTCATGTGTTTCGCGGATCTGTCACTGCTGGTGTCCGCCCTTTTCTGCTGGCCATGTAGTTTTATTCATTTGTCTACCACATCTCTTTTGGCCATGTAGCATTTCTATTCATTTGTCTCCCATGTGATTTCTTTCTTTTTGTCTTTCAGGTTTGGTGCCTGCACTGGTGTTTTCTGCCCTGTCCGCTGGCACAGGTTCACCTGTGAAAGGTTCTTGCTCCTTTGAAATGGGTGCGTGACTGTCTCCGGGGTTGCATTCCTGCCGCAGTGTGTAACTCTCTCAGCTTTGTTTTCCTTTTCGGGCAAGCGTTGGATGAATGACCGGATTGGATTTCGGCGGCATGGCAGCGATCTCTCTGTTCAGTTGGGACGGAGGGCATACGTCAGGCACCAAAAATCAATTTCATGTCACATCCTTCGCTCCTCATGCTTTTGTTTCTTGTCCTCACGTGGTCAGCTCCCCGCTGATTGAGCAGCATGACCAGCATCATGTTCGCACTTGAAGAATAATTCCCCAAAAGGTTTAGGGCTTCTCAATTCTTTTCTTAAGATATGTCCGCCTGCTCTGTACGGCTGTGTCCGTCTCTGCCTTGCAACCCTTTACATTTGTCTCCCAGCTCTGGGCTGCTGTGGCCGCCTCTGCCTTGCGCAATCCTTTGTCCAAGCTCTAGTTTCGATGTTGAAAAACACAAACTGTTTGGGGTCTACGGTGGTGTAATAAATCTGTAGGCATCACTGGCATCACATTGATGCATTTTCTGTGCCCAAGTCAGGCGCCTCATCCCTGCCCCAGCCTGAGAGAACACGTGCGAGGCTGGGCTTGTTGGATGTGTTGCTCTGGAACGTTCCTCCGCAGATCCTGGTGGGGGACGCCCTTTGGCCGCTCGGCGCGGATGAAGACGACACGGTGAGGTGAAGGAGGAGCAAGCTGTGTGTGGGAGAGTGCAAGCCAGGATATGGGTCTTCCAGGTTCAAGGGGGTACTTACCTGCCTCGGCTGCCTGCGTCTCAGCTGAGGTTTTCGGTGATTGCAGCACCTTGCCAGCAAGAAGCTATATTTATCAAGGGTCAAAGCAGCCAACATGGACCTAGTCTGAAATTGCTTGAGTTTCTTTTGGACTTTACGAACTGTCAAGATCGTCAAGTTTGGTGACTTCAGAGTGTCCACTCCTTCCGGAGTGTTCTTCCAACTTTTCAGAGCAGATGTGCCACAAGTGAGCCTTCCAACAGCTATAGTTGCAAAGAAAGACACGACCCACTGCTACCCCAGTAACCAGCAGATCCCTCACTGCACCAATAACCACCAACAGAGATCCGGCCCAGGTCATGTGCCGTGTGCACTCATTGGTTTTATGGATCTTAGTGGCTTTCGAAGTGGCCTCTCTCATTTTAGCACTCGGCGAAGGCAAGCCCGTTGGAGCTTCACCCTTGGGAGCTTTAGAAAACCTAGTGATGTTTTGACAAGAAAGATCGGAGGTTCACAAGAGGTCTCACAGTTACAGTGTAGTAAGTAGGAAACCAAGAAAGTGCCAACACAAGCCCAGGCTAAGTACTTACCCAGACTGAGAAAGATAGAAGTCTTCTCCACTGGACGAACCGTTTGGTCAAATCCGTCAAAAACCTGTTGATGGACCGATCTCCATCCCCGTTCAATTGCGGAAGATCCGGATCACGACAGGTGGATTTGTGGACATCTTCGCCTTTGATCACGATGCTCGGCCGCAGAAAGGTTCCGGAAGCGTTGCGCGTTCAGCGCGGGTAGAAGCGGGCGACACCGGCCAAAAGCCGCTCTCAGGTGACTGTGCCTTGCGATGCTGATAAATCTAAGGCAGTCTTTGTTATCACTGGCATCAGCAGATTCCTTGTGACAAACCCGGCCATGAAAGACAATGAAAAGGTGTCAGATTCAGCAATTGCTGGTGCATTTTTGGGTTTTGCGCCAGACAACTGATGCTTTTTCATTTAAGGAGCAAGATCTTTTGGCCGACATTTCTTTCTCTTGGTGTGTATATCTGTTCGTGGCTAGCCACCCAGGTGCGATATGGCATGTATAGTGTCGGAGGCTGAGGGTGCTGAGGGTGCAGCGCTATTCCGCCATCGCGTCCCCGCAAGCTTGAGACAGGATCAACCAGACAGATGTGTATTTGTTGCATGCAAAGATCCACCAGTCTCTTGGATCAACTCTGTGCCTTGCAATGCTTTTTGCAGTCCTTTCACCTCATTTTTGTCCAGTTTGGAGCACTCTTCCCCACTCAGTTCCCCAGACCTCTCAAGGACTTCCCCACCTATGACTGAGGTGGCCATGCTCATCATCATGGCCGGGGCCTACTTTTTGGACGAGCAAACGCGGCTTCAGTCCTTTGGCCAGGCGAGTTTTCGGGCGCTGCGAGCGAGACGGGCTGGTAGCACCTTTGGGGCGAAGCACTTGACTTTTCGTGACCGGTGACCTTCATATCTCACGACCGAGCTGGTCGGTTGCACCGCACCTGCACCGAGCTGCAGGTCATGTCCTTGCAGGATCAAAACGCCGCCTTGGCGGAGATGATGCTGCGATGGAAGGTAAGAGGAGGGAGTTTTTCTGTTCAATTTTGGGCGGAAACAAAGAGCAGCTCTTGAATTCGGCTGGGAGACGGGGGGGGGTTCGAGAACTTTTTCCCAATTTCGTTGTTCCAGAAATCGGCACCAAGCATCAGTGACTGCAAGTCTACAACCACAACCAACCACAACCCACTCTTTGCCCATAATTGGGCGTCCTTTTCTTGTTTTTTTTTCTGTGAGAAAAGGCGCCTACTTTTGGACCGTTTTCTCTTTCACCAGAAAGTCCGCCGTGCTCCGAGACGCGCTCCGACGCGCGCGGAGCCGCTGGCGAGGTGCTTCCCGACTTGGAGCAGAGCTCCTCGGTGGGCGGCTCCGAGCAGCAGGACGACGCGGAGAGATATCCGGGAGGGGGAATCCTTAAAGGACAAACAGCAGGTGCCTCAGTGCCTTGCTGAACAAACATAACACCCACCGCAACAGCATCACAAGCAAGAAATCCGGAAGACTCATGGTCACGAGTACTCGATGGTAGTTTTTTTGGGGGGTCCTTGCTCTGTTTTTCAATCCTGGAAGAGATGACTCAGGAGGCCTCTGTGGGATCGATCGGCAGCTCAAGTGTCTTGGCGAAGGAACAGCTTTGGGAGGATGTGCTGAGTTGCAACAAGGTCACCATCCTGTTTTGCTTTGCAACTCCGTTTTGCTGAGAGGTCGGCCAGCGCTGGTCATCCGACCCCATGATCCTAAATGATCCTTAAATGGAAATAAATGGAATCAACACCTGAGAGGTCCCAGAATATGTTGTATCATTTTTTTGAGAGGAATTGCTTTCACCTGCTGGGCTTGAAGACCTGTTCGATTCTGAACGTGTCCGAGGTAGCATCTTGCCACGCACGGGGCGCGGAGCTGCCCGAAGCTCAATTACGGGGTCTATCAGCTGGAGGAGGGTCCCCAACACACTGTCGCACTTGATGCTGTAGGTCATGCGAGAGGTTGTTTGGTAGATTAGCCCAGTGGTAGTTTGCACCAGATGGACCTTCTCAAAATGAATAAATACGACTCAGCTTCAAAATCGAAGTCTGAAGTGACTTCCGAGGCATGGCATCCGAGACCAGGTGCACCCAACGCGAACCCCCCAAAGCGCGCCAAACGCGTCGCAGGCCACTCGGGCCACCGACGGCCGCCGCTCGCCGCTCGGCCAGGCCGCACCGCGCGGGTGCGCTTCAACCTGCCGGACCTGCCGACGGCGCGCCACGCGCTGCCCACGCGGCAGCCGCGGGAGCTGGGAGGCGCCGCGGCGTTTTTTTCCGCCGTGGACGGCGAGGAGGGGTGCATGTAGAAGCAGCGGATTTGAACATGGCACTTTGGAGGTCAAGAACACTTTTGTTTGTGGAACCCCTCGAGCATCTTGAGCGCAAGATGCTGTTTGGTATCCTTTTCTTTTGATTGCTTTTGAGACCTGCACCAGTGTTCAGCAAAGTTTCTTTGAAATGGCGCTCCGGGTCATGGAGGAAACCACGGGCGTCCTTGCCGCGCTCCGAACCGGGCGAGGTCATCAGACCGCGAAGAACCTCATGGACGTCATGGAGTGAGCGAAAATGTCTACCGAGTCCAGACAGGCGAAAAGGAAAAAAGCGACCACTTCTGGGTATTAGAAACAATAGGCTACTAGGAACAAGTGCGTCGCTACTAGTAACAAGTGCCTTCCTAGTAGTAACAAAAAGCTAGTAGAAACAACCGGGCGAACGGGTCTGATGTCGACTGGAGACGCGACGAAGGGTGCACGAACTGCATGTGGAAGGTAGGATTCGTGAGTTTTGGCATGGCCAACTCCGAGTGTTTCAGCTGCCAGTGTCTTGTAATGTTAAGAGCTGTTTTTAGACCCTTCTGGTTCCAACAGACTGGAAACCATAATCTTCCACAGATGTGTTGAAGGCAATCTGATGAAAGGCTTGCTGGCTGTCCGGAAGCATCGTTTCGGCAAAGAGACTTTTGCAGACACGTGCCTCGTGCACCCTGCTGTTTTACGTTTTGTGGGATGAAGACCAGGAAGGAAGAGCTGGAATGAGATGTTCTGGGAACGCAACCTGATTTGATCTTCTTGTCTCCGGAGTTGCAACACTGCTTGACGGACATCGAGATCCACCAAGACCTGTTTGCTGATCATGCAGTACTGATAGGTCATTTTACTGGGTTGCGGAGTCAGATTCCGAGGTCCTTCTGGAGAATGCCACAGCGCCCATATTGGCAACATGAGCTGGGGAGTACACCTTTTCGGGGTGAGGTTCCAGCGGAGGTCGATAAGACTTGTCCTACCAATTGGTATGCAGGCATCTTTGCACATTTCGAAGCAGAGTTGGCCAACCAAACAGAAATGGCCCACCAGGGTCCTCTTCAGTCAGTTCACTGTGGGCGAGCTCATACTATGAACGTACAGACCCGCTCAGTGCAAATCCCTCCACTGCGGAAGAGCTGGAAGGGTGAGGAATCACCTGACTACTTTGGCCCCTCCAAGTTGCATGCTCAGTGGTTTCGACAGCTCCGAAGATTGCAAACCTACTACCGTCTCATTGACAGAGATGCGATGACTTCTGCACAATATCACCAACAGCGGGATCTGTGGGGAGCCATTCGGAATGCAGCTAGATTTGGACATGGGTTTGCACACTGGTGGTCGTTACATGGCCAGAGTGAGGATGGGGTGATTTCCGCCCTCCCTTTGAGCCCTCCTTCGTATGAGCTTGCATACATGATGTTTGACCATTTCCGTGGAAAAGTTCGAGCCCTGGAGAATCAGTTGAAATGGTCTCGGATTCGACATGCGCAACACAGACGGGTGGAGGACCCGAGCATCATCTTTCGTGACCTGCGAGCCGAACATGCAAGTTCTGTGGAGGTTTTGATTGACTCAGTTCAAGGCGAAGTTGAAGAGGTTGACCCCACTGACTCGGCGGTCACATTACGCCAGGATACACACTTTCGGTCAGAATCTCCGATTGTCCTGGCTGGGAGACCACGAAAAGTCATCCATGCGACTCCAGACAAACTTTGGCTTGAAGATGTTTCTGGTATCTCCCCAGGGAATGTTGCCCGACAAGAAAGTGCGACAGGAGACTTGCCTTCCCTCTTCAGAGCTTTTGGTTCGGAATGGGAGCGGTGGTGGCATCGACATGCTGATACCATTCCAGGCCGATGGCAACAAGTTCAAGACGAGCTGGTGCCTTTGCTGCCCTTCGCCGACATGACGCTGGATCCAATTACTCTGGCGCAATGGCGAAAAGCTGTCCAAATGAAGAAAAAACGGTCGGCTACTGGGCCAGATGGGATTAGCAGATTGGACTTATTGCAACTGCCTGATGGATTGACCCAGGAGCTGATTGATATTTGCCATTTTGCTGAACGGTGTGGCAGGTGGCCCACCCAGGCGTTGGTTGGAATCATCACAGCTTTGGCTAAAGTCCCGGGAGCTTCTCGGGTCCAGCAGTTTCGACCTATTACGGTCCTTTCGATGGTCTACAGAGTTTGGAGCACTATCCGGGCACGACAAGCTTTGAGTCACTTGGGACGTCTAGCAGGACCTCAGGTGGTGGGCAACTTGCCAGGGAAGACTGCGGGACAAGTCGGGTTTTCATTGCAACGTCGTTTGGAGCAGGCGCAGATCTATGATCGCCCGCTGGTCGGAATGGTGGCCGATTTGGTCAAAGCATTCAATGTCTTGCCTCGAATACCTACCTGGATGTTGTGCAATGCAATGGGTTTGGCTGTCGGCTTGATTCGTGCTTGGGCTGGTGCGGTGATTCCGTTGCGTCGTCATTTTCGAGTCCGAGGGTCGGTAGGTCCAGCAGTGATAGGCTGTAATGGGTTTCCAGAAGGTGATCCTTTGTCCTGTGTGGCCATGGCCGCCATTGCCATTGGATTTGATTGTTGGATGCAAGTGCACGTCCCAGAGTGTGTCCCAACTTCATATGTGGATAATTGGGAGTTGACTGCACCTTCGCCGGGGGTGTTGGGTCGTGCGCTCAATCAGTTTCGGGGCTTTGCCGACCTATTAGCACTGGAAGTTGATTGGCAGAAAACGTACACTTGGGCAACCCATGGCCACCATCGTACTCAGTTGAAGCAATTTGATCTGCCTATCCAGTTATGGGCTAAAGACTTGGGTGGGTGTGTGTTCTACGGTCGAAGACATACCACAGGTCTACAGGCAGCTCGCTTCGAGAGCATGACACCATTGTGGGGCCGTTTGAGGATTTCCTGTGCACCTTTGACCCAGAAGTTGCGCGCCCTTCGAACAGCAGCATGGCCCCGAGCGCTTCACGCGTGTGCTTCGGTGAGGATTACAGAGCAACAATATGCCTCCTTACGCGCCGGGGCTGTCCGTGGTCTTCAGCTGGATAAACCGGGCACCAATGCTATGTTCCTCTTGGGGTTGCATTTACATCCTATTCATGACCCTGAATTCTTTGCATTTTGGCATACATTGCTGGATTTTCGGAGGCTTCAAAATGAACTTGAAGTACAGATTGATTTGCAATGGATTTGGGGTGAGCTTCAAGGGAAATTTCCACCGGGGCCCTTGTGGGTATTTTTCCATGGATGTTTGCGCATTCACTGGAGCTGGAATGGGGAATTGGGGCTGCTCGAGGACCGTATTGGTTTCTTCAGCATCTGGCGAATTTCGTTGAAAGAGCTAGAGTTCCGTGCGGTATATGCATGGCAACGAATGATCGGCACCATTGGCCAGCAACGACGTGGTTTTGCTGGGCTTGCCACCGCAGGCGCTCACCTGTCCCAAGGAACCCATTTACAGTTGACAGACCTTCAGCGTGGCCTCCTGCGTACTGCACATGTTGGTACGTTTTTTACCCAAGATGGCCTGAAGTACTCCACCCCGGATGGCAGTGAGGTGTGTGTCCATTGTGGTGCTCCTGATAGCATTGACCATCGTATTTGGCGGTGCCCCACATTCCAAAGTGTGCGAGAGAATCTCTCGGATTGTCGGCCACCAGCGTGTGATTCGTTGCCGGACTGTACTCGGCTACATGGGTGGATCCAAACTCCTGCGGAGTATCTTCCATTCCTGCAACGCCTTCACAACTTGCCGGACCTGTCCCACCAGCTGGATTCACCTGCACCTGGAGTGACACTGGATTTGTTTACAGATGGGAGTTGTATGTTCCCGCAAATCCCTAAGCTTCGTGTAGCGGCATGGGCTGTCGTTCAAGGACACAGTGGAGAGCGTGGCACACGAGTGGAATGTTTGGCCGGGGGACCGCTTCATGGACTTTGGCAAACCAGTGGCAGAGCTGAGATCGTCGCAGTGCTGGCGGCCGTGAGGCTTGGAGTCCGATCGGGGAGGCGGACAAGAATTTGGTCTGACTGTGCGAATGTAGTCAACAGACTTCGCCTCCTTCTTGATGATCCTCAAGGTGCCAGGCCCAATGCCCATGATGCAGATCTGTGGGATCTTTTGGCAATCGAGTTGAGACGGGAGCATCATATCACGGTCCACAAGGTTGCTGCCCACGTAGATGAACGAGTCTACGGCCCAGTTGAAGAGTGGGCGAGGCGGTTCAATGACATGGCGGACCAGTACGCCAAGAGCTTCAATCTGCAGCGAACAGACGAGTTTTGGCAGTCCTGGAACTTGTTGAGAGATCAGATGCAACAGGCAGAGGCCGTCGGCCAGTATGTCCTCCAACTTCATTGCCTTATCGGTGAAGAGGCGATTCGTTTACGCAAGGGCTCCCCTACCCAGCAGGTCGGTACCTCCTCGGAGGCTAGAATCTCTTTGGAGCAATGTGTGCGGGTCCCCAGTGGACCACTCCTTTCTGACGATTTGAAAGGCTTGTTGGGCAGGGAGCAAGTGCGCCGTCTTTGGGCCTGGCTTCAAGAAGTGAGAAATGGGCATGTTTGGGGAAGTTGGGTCTCGATGGCTCAGCTCTACGTGGATTATCAGCTGACTTTCGGCAAGGTGGGACCTCATTTCCATTCTGACCGTCGGCAGTGGAGTGACCCCAACGAGCCCGGGTTGGCAAGGTTGAAGGGATATGAATTTCCCCAACAGTTGAAGTGGTTTGGGAGGGCTTTGAGGCTGTTGTTGCAGAGCCACGCTGCTCAGCAAAATGGACATCAGATTTTCAGATTGCAGCGCCCTAGTTCAGCAGTGTTGTCGCATTGGAGCCAATGTATTCACATTGCTTGGTCCCCTGCTCGACGAGACGCTGTTGATATGTGGTTCCAACAACATTTGCCCGGCGGCTCCACACGCCGCCGGGCGCATGGGCTGGCATGCTTACCTGCAGCAGGGAGCGACCCTGCATTTGCGGTGCGGCTGGTGGAAGACCCTCAGAGGTCTTTGTCTCAATGGTGGCGGTCACCCTGACCGAACTAGGATTTGACTGTTCGGGCCGCAAAACGCCGCCCGTCCAGACCGCAGTGAAAGAGTGAAAGAGTGAAAGATGTTCTGGGGACACCCGCGATGCAGTTCTGGGTGAAATGGCTCCGGCCAAGTCGGTGGGACTTCATTTGCCACTTGCTGCAACCATTGCTGTTGATCGTGTGACAGCTCAAGGTGTGTTTCTTCAAGACAACGCAGCAGGAAAGCAGCGCAAAAGCGAGCTAACAGAAAGCGTAGAAGTAGAGTCTTTACTTTCACACCATGTTCGTTGGCTGGGGCTTAGAATCCCGAAAACACTCAAACTCCACTATCCTCCCAGCTAGAAGCACTGCTTCCAATTCGCGCATCCTCCGAAAAATCGCTCCACCAGCAGCATCAGCCAAAACCTGCCTCAACTCCCCGCAGATCCTCCACCTTCACTGCATCCCCACCACCCCGGCCATCCTAAGAGAAACACCGATCGCACCTCCTCCGCCGCGGTAGCTTCCGCGATGCGGGCGATCCAGGAATCCGTGGCGCGGAGCCGCCAGGCGGCGCTGGAGCGGACCCTGCGGCGCAATGCCGAGGAGCAGGCGGCGCAGGAGGCGCCACCGGAAGGGCGCGGGGGGTGGAGGGTTTTTGGGCGACGGTGATGGGCAGAAAAGAGGAGGAAGTTTCGGTAGGCGGCCAGACATTTCGCACTTACTCTTGATTTCTGGCAGAAAGGCGCCTTTCCTTTGTTGTGTGAATCGATCTGCCCTGCCCTCTGCTGTCCGGATAGCTTGCCTCGGATGTTGGGAGGCTCTGCAGCAACAAGAAGAGTTGAGGCTCGAGAAGGAGTCGCGAGTCACCTGCATCATGGGGTGTTTTGACCATGGCCGACTCATGGTGTTTGCGCAGAAGTCTGCACTGAAACCTGAAAACTTGTAACGTGTACTAACGTGTACTGTAACACTTGTGTCAGCCAGCGAGTCTTGTGAATGTCAAAAAACAACTCCGGTGAAAGGAGAGACTGCACGTGGTTTCACCGCCACGAGCTGTTGTCAGATTTCTGGTTTAACCATTTCAACAAGCATCGCATGACATTCGCCCTCCCCAAAAAGAAGGAACTCGACAAGCAGCGCAGCGACGTGCGTGGTGTGCGGATGGTTTCCGTCGTTCCGCGCCGCAAGGAGCGCTGCCTGCAAGCTCGTTGGGACCTGATCCAGGCGGCGGCGGCGTTTCGGTGAAGTGCAGAAGAAACCGTGCTTCTTTTTCGGCCGTGGTGAAAGTGAAGAAAAAGGGGATATATTAGTAACAAGTGCATCGCTTCTAGTAACAAGTGCCTTACTAGTAGTAACAAGAAGCTAGTAGAAACAATGAGATTGCGGACAGATCTCGGAGCAGTTGTAACCACCAATTGATACCATTCGTAGGGAGATCTGACGACGTGCCCGCAAGCCGGAACCGTCTTCGAAGAACGTAGGCGGTGAATGTGGCCCACGAAGCGGATGCGTTGGCTTACTTGGAGGAGGCGTTGGCCGTTCGATTTGGGATTTTTGAACTTTAGAATATATTTGGGATTGGTGAATCTGAATCGATTTGGGATATATCACTTTAGATATAAACTTTAGATTTGGTGAATCTGAATCTGAATCCTCCATTTTTCAAGCGTTACCAGATCCCCAAGCCGCTATCTTTTGACACGGGGTGTACCAAACTCCAATTTGAGGCCCTAATGGACCAATGGACCCAGGGACCCCACGCGAACGTGTGAGGACTTCCAACGCGACGTCCGCCCACGACTCTCCGCCAGATGCGTGGCCATGTGGACATGCTCGTGGTCTCGGACGAGTATGGTTCCACACTCCTGCATGAGGTGTACGGTGCGCGTGTTGCTTCCGTTGAGACGACAGACACTGGGTGGATCAGGGGGGCAACCCATGGCTGCAACTCGTGTCGGACAGCTCAGCAAACAGACCAAGACTGGACTCACATCTCCCTCAGATGGCCAAAGAGAGATTTCGCACCCTCACTGACTTGGAAGAGACAGATGGGATCAGATGGGTCCCTTTCTTCCGTTCTTTGGACGTCGCTGAGAGTCTGAGACTGGTCCAGGCATGTGCCCGCGGGATGAAACGCTTGGCCACGGCCGTGTTGCAAGCCACTGCCGAGGCTGGTCCCGCGGTTCGTTTTTTTTTTGTTTGCTTTCGAAGACAGAGACAGATAAGGAAGGTGACATGAAGAAACATGCCACCCCAGTTGGACAAGAGCCGGTTCATTTTGCAAACACCTCTGCAGTTTGGGGTAGTTGATGGAGGAAGTGGCTGCTGTAGGTCTGGGCTCTTCTGAAACTCCAAATATTCCGTCATTGCGCGAGGACTTGTTCCGTCAGCCATGTGACACATGGCTGCTTGGATAGAGTGGCTTGCATGATACCCTTGGTTTATACATATTGTAGATGTTTTCCTGCCCAGCCACCATGTTTTTTTTCAATCCAGATTTACCATCACGAGAAGAAAACTAAAGCCTTGAACTCCCACACCAATGGATGTGCATTTTTTGGGGTTTCTGCAGGTTCCCTCAGTGGCTCCCTCAGAGTTCCCGCGCGGCGAGGCGGAGGAACAGAAGATCCTCTTCCAACGCGACTACCGGGGCCAAACGTCCGGGCCGCCGGGTGAAGGACGTGAAGGACGTGAAGGGTGAAGGTGGATGTGGGGTATGCCAAAGTCACCAAAGGTTGGTATGATAGTCTTCATTCCATTTCTGATTCTTTCTTTATTCAGGAACCGCTTCCAAGGGTCGTAAGAGATCAGATACCTCAGGCAATCAACGGTTCTTTCATGACATCTCTCCACATTCTCCCCGCTAACACAGAAACCACACACCACCTCGGCCTCTTCCGACCTCTTCCACCTCGGCCTTGGCTCTTCCCCGACCGCCTCGGCTCGCTTCGGCTCACAGCGACCATCGCTGCGACACGGCGCGCGGCCGGCAGTCCCGAGCACCCATGGCGCCGCTGGGCCTGCGATGGGAACGGGAGAGGAGGGAAAAGGAGGGAAAAGGAGGGAAGGAGGGAGAGGAGTTATTTTTTTGACCTTTACTTACAGTCTCCTGTACTACCTGAGATGGGCTAAGGTCTAAGAAGGTTTTTCCTTTGGTGGGTATGACGTATTAGACAGGGTTTTCGTGCTACGACTGTTGGGCTGACGTCTTCCAAACTAAACCAAAAGGACTTGGAGGCCGAGGTTCTTCCACTTCGCCTCGTTTGACCTGAGGTGCCGAGACTCCGATTCGGATGAATGGGACGAAGGCCAGGTGCTGTTTGTCAGACCCTTCTTCGGTGGTGAGGAAGTGAGGTGTTGGATCGTTCGATGCGTTTGATCGACTTGACGGGTGACTTGGTGGATGTATACTGGGCCCAGCAAATATGACTCAAGGTGGTGATGTGATGTTGGTTCTCAAAACATCGGCGAATGGCCCAAGCATGAAAGCGTGGGGCGCTGGCGCAGTGGGGCTGGGCGTGTGAGAGGACACATTCAACGCGAGGAGGTCATCCCCAAGCTTTCATCGGTAGCGGAGCAAAAGTCTACGCGTCGTTTGCTCATCGTTGGGGACCCAACCGTTTTGGTCGCTGTTGAATCCCAACTTCCTGCAGCAGCAGGGCTTCCTCCGCCATTTTACCGGGGGATCCCTTTCAAACGCGACCGACGGACTGCTTCCACACGGCCGTCCGCGTGCAAGACTCCACGGACCTCGAAGGGGCGGATGAGGAGCTGAAGCTCGGGACGAAAGCGGGAGCTCGGGGGGGTTTGGCATTGGGCATGAGTTCGGGTTCGTGGGGGCTGTGGAGTGTCCCAGTGCCAAGTCAGTGTGAGGAACTTGGCCGCGCTCAAGGTGCATAAAGGTGCTGAGCTTCAAGAAGAGCAGTTGCTGTACTGTCACCCAGGAAGGGTCACAGTATGTCACAGTTACGGTGCAGTCTTGCCTGGAGATCCGCATAAATAAAGAACATGAATGGGATTTAGGATGTGGAGAAACCGCTTCTTGAACAAACATTGGTGAATTCTTCAATAGGATTCCGTTGCAAAAGCATGGTCCTTTGCAACTAGGAGGGAGCCGAAAGCGGAATGAAGGACATCATCTAGAGATTTTCCATATAGATAGGAGTTAGGGAGTTAGGGTGGGACGGTGGCAGCCTTGCGACGTGCGAAAACAGGACCAACCATAGCCAGGCAGCCACCTCACTGGTTTCGTTTAAACCCTTCCGACATGACATGGATCAGGACATCCCATCGAACCATTCGGCCATACCTTCACTTCTGGCCCCGGCCGGACCTATACGCCCACATGGACCTTGAGACAAAGACCAACTCAGTGGGTTTGGGGGGGGTCCATGTGAACTTGGGGAGTCTACTTCCCGGCCCCAAAAAGTATGACCTGGACCATCTGACCAATCTGGTCGGACCTACAAACACTTCCCATTGCTAAACGCCTTCGTTCGCTCCACGAGCGAGCGAAGCAACGCTCCGACGGCCTCCGGGTCTTCATCGGGACCGAGGATCGATGAACAGGATCCGCCGCCGGTGCGTCCCTTGAACCGAAACGCAGGGGTGGAGGGATCCGTGGAGCGCGTAAGGGGGAGGCAAACCAGGCACACGGTCTCTTTTTTTTGGGCGTGTCCTTGAAACCAGGACCGTGGTGTTGGAGCCGAGAGTGAAGAAGGGAAGGTCTTTTTTGTCCCGAAATGACTCGAGGTTGGTGAGAGGAAAAACCTGTCACCTTCTTATGTCATTAGCTCTAGCTCCACATGAAAGACTCCGCCGTACCCAGATTTCTGCACATGTTTCCCGTGCTGCCTGCCAAGGTATCCTCTTAATAGCTTTCATGTGTATGTTCCAGGCGCGCTCACACGCCAGGGAAAGAGAGAGGACATGTTTTTCACGCAAGTACGGACACTGATGAAACAGACAAAACACAGGGCTATTGAGCACCAATCAGACCTTCAGACCTTCGTGACGACAAATGTATCAAGGTCTGACCATCCTGCAACTGTGATTTGATTCTATGAAATTGGGGGAACCGCAACAGACCCAACAAGCAAGAACAAGACTCTTTTTCCGGTGGACACAAAGCCCCCATCGAGTCTCTGGCTCCTAAGTGCTTGCCTTGAGTCGAGCGTGGGCGTCCAGTGCATTTTCACACCGGCCCTACTCTAACGGCCAAGCGAGACCAAGAGAACGTCATGCGTGGTGCACTGGGTTCTATGGCCTGTCTCGGAGAGTGACCAGTAACCGGTATTGCAAACACATCTAAGGAAATCCGAGTTCATCTTTTTCGTAAGGGGGTCCGCGATCATGTTATCACCAGCAACCCAGCGTAAAGAACCCCCTGATCTATAGAGATCATCCTTTAGTATGGCTATGTCTATAGCCGTTCTCTTGTCCTCTACTTGAGAGTAGGTGCACACCAGCTTGTTGATGCAGTCGTATAGCGACCGAGAGTCAACTACTGAGACATAGGGGATGGCTGCCAGATGCCGCTCCCAATCCTCGGATTCCATGGTCGTGCCCATCAGTTCGAGCAGGAGGTAGCGGTGCCAGTGGATATGGCCAATGCCATGGACTAGCGATTGGCATTCTGCGCTCAGGGTGTTGACTGTCTTTCGTTTGAGTTTTGTTGACTTCCATGAAGTCACGGAAACCATGTGAGGTCGATCTTCGGTTTCCATTCTCTTGTCATAAAAGATCATCACATAGCCTCCTTGGCTGCTACAGTTGAGGAGCTTGAGGAAGGTGTCGTTGATCTTTCCATGTTCCAACTCATGTCCTGGAAGCTGTTTGGTGAAGATGGTTTTTCCAGTCCAAGGGGAGTCCGACCAAGTTCGGACACTATTTCCTTTTGTCCATTCATCTTCTAGAACTTCTTCATTCGCTGTCATCGTTCTGCGACCTGGTTGTAGGTCATGAAGATCTGGTCCTGGATCGGCTCCTGGGTGAAATAGGACCCTCCTGGGAGTGACATGATGTCGAATCCAGTGTGATGGTTTCTCTTCCCAGTAGTCCTGTGAACTAGCTTCCAGTTGGTCTTGGCTTCTAGCGTTGGACCATGAAGCGTCGGTCGCAACTCCGATTCGCAGGTTCTCTGGCTGAATCGGCATAATCTTGATGCCGCTCGAGGGATGTTTTCTAGCCTCCTGAGTGATGGAGTTGGCCTCGATGATGTCTTTGATACGAGGCTTTGGAAAGACCTGTTGGAGCAGAGCCACTCTTCCGGCCAGGTCTGGCCTGCTTTCTTTGGCGAGCCAGGCTAGGGCTCCAACACTGGCGCGGAGCTGCGTGATTTCCTTGTCGTCACAGAAGGTGTATCTCTTTTTCTTTCGTTGTTTTTCCAGGTTGATCTCGAAGAGCTTCTCCTGGATGTAGTTCTCCTGGTTCACGGTGATGCTCGAGTCCTCTTGTTGGACGAACATTTTTCCAGTAAATTTTCCAGATCCATATTGGAATTTTCCGAGCTTGTACTTTGCCTTGATCTGGTCCATAGCCTTTTGGTGTTCTTCGTCGCCTCCATGTAGAAGGTCATCCGTAGCGACCGCAATGATGCCGCTGAGGACCGGCTTACCAGTAAGGGGACTGGCCCGATGTTTGTAGTAGATGCATGGATCTGCCAGTGACTGCTGGTATTGTAGTTGGCTGGTCAGGAACTTCTTGAGGTGATTGTACCATGCCAATGGGCCATCAGTGAGGCCGTAGCAAACCTTTTCAAGTTTCAGTAGTTGGCACGGTGCAACTCCAGGGATGCCTTCGCGAGGTGGAGTTGCATAAAGTAGTCGTTCAATCGCATCTCCACTATGGAAAGCTTGGGTGAAGTCCAAGAAGCCGAGTTTCCAGCGATGACTGGCCACCAGTTGGGCGACCATGAGAGTTCCTTCTCTGGTAACCTGAGGTGTCGTTGCCTCGATGTCCTCGGAGCCTTCTTCGCTAAACCCTTTCATCACATGTCGGGCTTTGGCCTTGCAAGGTTCTTCGGAATCCCAGTCGAGGAGGATTCCTTCCTGTTTGGCTGGTTCTACTTCGTGAGGTTCCAATGGTTTTGGAGTCAGTACCAATCGACTTTCCATGATTCGGTGTGGCATGGTTTGTCGAACCTTTGCCGACTCTTCTGGGGAGACAATGGAGTAGGCGCCAATGTTGATGTTGTTGTTGAATTCTTTGCCGATTGCCGCCTTGAAACATTTTTGGTTCTTGAAGCTCAGTTCCTGAAAGCGAACTTCCTTTCTCTGTCTTGTTTTCATCAGGTTGTCAACCTTGTTCAGGTAGATCTCCAGGTATTCATGTCTCAATCTTTTTAATGGCGGTTGTTCTTGGGCTTCTCCTTCATCATATTCTCTTTTGTTGTTCTCGTCCACGTCGGGGTGTTCTTCTGGTCGTTCTTCTGGTACCTCTTCAGCAGGTCGTTCGTCATGATCTGGTTCTTGTAGATCTTCTGCTTCTGGTGGTTGATGAAGGTTCTCTTGTGGTGCCTTTGTTCGGTATCTTTTTGCTGGCGGAGGGTATCCCAGAGGTTCTTGAAGCCCGTCTAAGATTGGAGCTATCGGAGGTGCACTCGGTTCATCTTCAGGAGGTTCGGATGGCTCACCCCATCTGCTAGGTCAGGAGGTAGAGGCTGATCGGATAGATCTAGGAAGCCTCGAACTGGTTCAGTGTTGAGATCCTTCTTGACATTGACAATGTCGTCAAGCCATCCCGAGAGAGCCATGTTCTCTTCAGATGATGCTCTCCGAAGACGCTCCGGACTCGCCTTGACCAGGTTTGACTGGTACGCTAGCCAAATAGTGCTGGGCTGGTCGATCATGATGATGCGAGCTGGTCCCTGCCAGTAGCCTGGTTTGAACTTGAGCTTTTTATCCGCTCCCATTCGATAGAAGTAGACAATCTCACCGATGTCGTAGTCCAGGATCGGTCTTGGTCCTGATGAAATAGCTCTCCGCAAGGCGTTGTCTGCATCGGCTTCGATGAAAGCTTGAGCTGCAGCCTTCCGAAGCTTCATGGATCTTTCAATGCTGAGGTCGCCGATCTTCGGCACTGGAGCGTCTTCTCGATGTCGATGTCCGTCATCTCCATTTAAGAGTCCTCCTGGTAGGAAGGGGTTGAATCCCAAGACACGTTGACATGGGCTGTATCCTCCCACGTTCATCATTCGGTTTTTGGTCATGGTGGTGAGGTCTACCATTTCTTCCCATTCCTGCATGTTGCTGCAGCTGTAGGTGTCCATGGTCTTCTGGAGGATGTATTTGAAAGTCTTTCCATGCCTTTCGGTGATGCCTCTTTGATGAGGTGCTTCCACAGCAGCTGGGTCGATGTAGGTCCCATCCTGCTCAACCTGTTCCGCGAAGGTACCGCGAAACTCACGTCCCAAGTCTAATGCCATTCTTTTTGGAGGCCCAAATAGTCTCAACCAGTGCCTATAGGCTTCTCGAACTTGTCCTGGTTTCTTGTTAGGCAAGGGGATCATGAGTTGGAATTTGCTTGACCAGTCTATCACGTTAAGTGCTGGTCTGGAGCGATTGCCCAAGGTCGGCAAGAAGACCACATCCACTCCGACACATTCGTTGAAGCTGAGCTCCTTGGGTGGAGCACTTCGTCGTGCGGGTCGAACTTGGGCATGTCGTTGACAGACACTGCATTTCAGCCGTTTTGCTGCTTCAATGACTTCCGGTTTTGCCTTGGCATATCTAAGTATGCGTACAAACCGATCTGGACTTGGATGTCCCATTCCAACATGTGCTCGATGTAGAAGTCGGTCCATGGTGAAGCGACGTTCGAGAGGGAGTGGAGCATTTGTTCGTTCATCGCTTTCCGGTTCAAGTTCTCCTTGGTCACCGTCACCTTGAAGTTCTTCAGCATGTAGTTCCCAGGTTGGGCCAGGTAGAACACTTTCGACTTGGTCGGGTCGTTCCGGATCGACTTCGCTTAGATGAAGTTCATGTCCCGGGACTTGTTCAGCCTGTAGCGTAGTTTCCTGGTCTTTATCCGGTGAATGTCCTGGATGGAGTTCAGAATCGACCATCAGTTCTACTGCCAACAATGAGTTCAGGCGATCATTCTCCAGGAACATCTGTTCGGAGGTGATGGTATAAACCTCAGCTCCAATCGATCTTGCGTAGGCAGCCAAAATGGCTTCCCGAAGACCTTCCGGATAGATTTGTGCTTTCTTGGACTTGGTGCCACCAATGATGACTTCGTGTTGATGATCGCCAGGACATAGGGCGTCTAGAGCCTTGGCGATCTCCGGGCTGTTGGTGGCAAAGCCAGTCCGTTTTCTTTGGGGTTGGCCAGATTCTCCACGGAGTCCATATTGGCATTGGTCTGCCTTCGTGTACACTACGTTCGGTTTGGAAAGAAGCTGCTCCATGGCACGGTGTTTCCAGGAGGATGCAGCGTGGGGATGTTCCAAGAGGAACTTGATGCCCAAATTATCGCATAATTCGCACAACTGCAGTGCAAACAGCAAAAGTTGCTCCCCTTCCGACTTTCTCTTTAGATACTTTTGAAGAAGAGCAGGAATGCGTTCTCGTTTGTTTTTGGAGAGGCTTTGCAACTGTGAATACATTTCACATGGTGGTGCGATGCAAACGAGTCCAGGCCTAACATCTTTCACATACTGCAAGACTTCGTTTCGTTTGTTTGCCTTCAACAAATCACAATCCAACTTCAAATCAAAAACACGGCCAGGATTGAGATTGAAGCGATGGGCAATTTCACCAAAACAACCAGGATTATAGATTTCAGCAACCGTTCTGAGTTGTTTATGAGAGAGTCCCATGATTTCAGCAATCTGATGTGTTCTTTTCGATCCATCAGGGTGCAGGGTGAACTCCTTGCAAAGGTCATGATTAAAGCTCCGAATCCAGTCTCGCAGTGTCGCATCTCCATCATGCGTTTCTGCGAGAATGTACTGGATCTGTTTCCAAAAAGCCACAGCCTTCTTCAAGGCTGCCCTGAGCTTTCTTTCAAGCTTTGGGGTCACTGGCTTGAAGGGCCCTTCATTCGGCGCCAGCGCAGGAAGTCCATGAAGTCCTGGTAGTCCTCTGGTTCGGTCATCCCTTCCTGAGGTGATGTTGGCGTCGGAGTTGAAGGACGAGGAAGTGTCTCTGATGGGCTGCTGGGAGACACCGTCTCCGTGACAACCGCTTTCTTTTCCTGTCTGATCACCTTGTTGCAGTAGCGGCAGGTCACCTTGGTCAGGAAGGCATTGGATCCCTTTCGATGCGTGGCGGAGTGCGGGCAAATTTCCTGAACCATCCCCTCCAGCACCTCGGCATAGGACTTGGGCTTTTCGCCTGGCTGCTGGCGGTACTTCCAGCTGGTCACATCTTTCAATGGCTGGCAAGGGGTCCATTGTTTGAATTCGCACTGTTGTCCTGGGTACTTCGGGCATCGGAAGTAGATCTCCTCCTCGTGGTTGACCTCGGTGCTCAGATGAATCTTCACCTGTAGGCCGCATCGGCAACGAGGTCGGGGTCCAGTCAGCATCTCGATCCCCGGCAGGCTGTCGATCTGGTCGCAGCGCTGAGTTCTCACCAAAGTCTCCTTCTGAACCTTCCTCTGAGATCCGTCCGAGCGTTGTTCCGGGTCCCTGATCACGATGAATGTGTCCGATAGTTCGCCGCGACGATTCATCTCGTCCTTGGCCATCTTGGTCACGTGGTGGAGCTCCTCGTCGGACATGTTCTCGATCAGACGCGCCAGAACCCGGCGTTGGGATTGTGCTCCCATGATGGTCTCCAAGAGGCGTTCGAACAGGTACTGAAGGGGCATAAGCACGACCAGTAGCCGACGGGTCAATTGAGTCCAGGCTTTCACGGCCTTGTCCTCCGGGTTCGAAGTCTCCGGTGGAGCATGTCGGCTGCGCTTCTGGCCGGTGTTCTGCATGGCAGGCGGAGGAAACCGGTGAGGTCGATGCTGAAACGTCTTGAGTTCTGTCAGGCTCCGGCGGTTTCATGCACTGTTCGTTCAATTTCAGGACCTCGAATTCCGGAAGCGAAGTTCCTAAATCTTCTGACTGGGCTCTTTGGAGTGCGGTCAGTTGGAGTTCCGTGAACTGTTGAAGTGGAATTCGAAGTGCTCCGGTTGGTCCAAGATGTAAGGGGACTGGTTCGTGGTTTCCACGAAGTCGAAGTTGGAGGCCTTTCTCAAGACACAACCCTATGTCACCATGACAATGGAGGAGGAAGCTGAGGGACAAGAGGAACGGTGCGTGGGTGCTCTCGTCGCTGTCGAAGACCGCTGGTTTCAGGAGACTGCCTTTCGCTCCCAGTGAGCTGGGTACATTGGCTACCCGGGTGGTAATCGATGTTTTGTGAACGCTCCTGAACTTGTTGGTCTCGGGGTGAATGGTGATCTTCAGGCCCTGTGGTAGATGGTCACTGAACTTCCTCAGGGTCGTGGCTCCAATTGCCAGTCTCTGCAGGTAGCGTCATCTGGGGTTGACTGGGAGTACTGGGATACCAGATCGCAAAACATGTTTTCATAGAAAAACAAGCTATCCACATCAACATGACCAATCTCACCCATTCCCAAACCCAAAACCGTGTCACTCTCCGTATATGACCGAGCGGTCAGGCCGTGATTCGAGGCGGGGACTACATCTGTACAGTCCGGCTGGCCTTCGATTGAAGTCCTCAGGATGAGCGGCTCAGGTGTTCTTGTCCCTGTCATCTCAAAAGGCGAGGAGCTGGTTGGTCCATGGCTGGAGAGATTCTTGTCGATGAACTCTTCCTTCTCCAGACTGCCCACAAAATGCACCTCGGGTGTGCTTTCCAAAAGGTGTGTCTCGTTCGTTCGAGACGCGCTCATCGATGAGGAGCTGCCTGGTTTCATGGGAGGGTTCTTGCAATCCCGTTTCCAGTGGCCGATCTGACCACATTGTCGGCAGCGGGTCCTCTTCTGCAGCTCGGCAATCGTTACGGAGTAGGATCCAGGTCGTAGAGGTCGATCTCGATCTCCCCGATTCAAGCTGAAGTTTGGTCGTCGACCAGCTCCATAGCCTCGGGCGAGTTCCTTGGTTTTCTTGTCCTTGATCGACTGTGTATAGGTCTTCTTCTGCTGAAGGTAGGTGGAGAGGATCTCTGCCGCCTCGGATTCGCTCAGGGCGGTGTCTTCGGAAGGTCCTTCGTCCTGGAGCTCCATGATGTAGTGCTCGATGTTGTCGATCTCCTCCTGGTCGGTGCCATTACCTTCAATGACCTCCTCGGTGGCATAGACTCCGTCATACTCAGTATGGAATGCGCCGGCTGCCTTCTTCCGGTCGGCCCCAAGCTCTGAGGCAGACAACTTTGTTTCATTCTTTCTCAACCAGCTCTTGATGGAACTGGGCTTGATGCAGCCGTGGGTGTAATTCAACAAGGCCTTGGTATCGCTCTCGGTCAGCTGCAGCCCGTTGATCATCAAGAAGCCTTCATACTCGGGTGGAAGCACGATCTTGTGTTGTTGAACTTTCCGAATGGCGTTGTCCCACTTGGCGAAGTACTCCCTCCAGGACTCTGTCTTCTGCCTCCGGAGGTGGTAGGTGATGCGGGACATGGCCGTCAGCATGTGCTCCTGCTGGTCATCTCCGAAGCGTTCAGGCTTATCCATGTCTTCAAGAAGACGTTCAGCACCTCGTGGATCTCCGAGCCAAACAGGATCTTTTGCCCAGTGCTTGTAAAGCTCGAAGGGTGCTCCTGTCAACATCTTCAACAAGAGAGGCCCTCGCGACTTGGCCTTGTCCTTGGTCGTCGCGATCCATAGTTGGGCCTTAATGTGATAGTCCTCGAATGGGGTCTGTCCATCCCATGATGGTGGAGGTCCGGAAGCCCCTCTTCCTTCTCCACTATCATCACCTTCTTCTTCTTCTCGCTCACGACGGCGCCTATGACGTGTCGGACCGCGGCCTTCTTCTCTCTCCATCTGGAGAAAGCGTTGGAACCGAGCGAAGGCTTCCCGGTCACTCCCTAAAACGTCCTGCGCGCCCTGAGCCCCCGTGGAGCCAGCAGCTGGCGAGCCGCCGCCTGGCGGTTCATCCAAGTCGCCATCTGAAGGTGGAATGGCCTGTCTATCGGCCATTCAAAAACCTAGACGGGATGGGGGCTGGTGACCACCAAGAAAAAGAGTCGAACCCAAACCAGCCCGGTCGGAACCGGGCTCCGCTACCACTATGAAATTGAGGGAACCGCAACAGACCCAACAAGCAAGAACAAGACTCTTTTTCCGGTGGACACAAAGCCCCCATCGAGTCTCTGGCTCCTAAGTGCTTGCCTTGAGTCGAGCGTGGGCGTCCCGTGCATTTTCACAGATTCAGACCTTCGTGATGGCATATGTCTCAAAATGCATCCCTGCAACTGTGATTCGATTGTGACCATCCTTGATTCCTTGATGATTTCATGTCTTCTGCTTGGGTGGAGCATGTCTTTCTTAGCCCTTGAAACATGTCCGCCAACACCAGGGCTACGGCTGCATGGTCGGTGGTCCAGCGCATGCGCTGAAACATAAGCTGGGGATCAGCCACGAGCAAGCAGCGGAATTCCAGGCGTGCTCCCAGAGGGACGTGAGTTTCTGGCTGAATGGAATCAATCGAACAGATGACACGATGCATGGATAAATGGTTGAGTGATGAATGGATGGAAGATGCAATCTAATTTGGATTTCTAATTTTCCAATCCCTCCTTGCAAAGCCAATTCCTCGCTTTTTATTCGGTCATCATTTTTGCCGCGGCCGTTTTGGGCGGATTCAGTTCTTGGTTTGGCAAAGTCGATGGAGTGACATTTGGTTTTCAGTTACAGGATGATGATGAATAGCTCGCTGAAATGTCGGTTGACAGGTTGGAGTATACCGAACCCTCGAACGGATGATCGTTCAAGAGTCCAGTGTATTACCAGAGGAGACAAGTGGAGAGAGACACAGAGAGAGGAGCTTCCCTTCCATGTATAGAAGCCTCCTTGAGATTCGAAGAGTCGAAAAGAAAGAATTCATCACACTTCCCTTCAACTCGCAGTCATCCACTCCAGCTCATGGCCACTCGCCACAAGCGACCAGCGACGCGTCCTTCGCACCCCCCCAAAGCGCAACGCGTTCACATCGCACCGGTCGCACCTCCCGGCCGACCGAAACGGAGCGCTGCCCCGAAGATGCGAGGATGCCACGGCGAGTTTCCAGCTCGCGAAGATGTTGATGCGCGTGTGACGCTTCCCTCGGCAGATGCGCGATGGCGCGCGCGACGATGTTGACGCGTGGAACGGTCCAAGGGGTTAAGGCGTCTTCCTTTATGGGGCGACACGCACTGATCGGTCCAAGGGTAAGCTGGTTGGTTTGGAGAATGTCTGGGGCATGTGGTGGGCGCTGGTGGTTGGCTGTTTGGAAGAAGCTGGTGTGTGAAGAGCAGTGTGCATAGTGTGCTCAGACCGGATGCTCTTCAGCAACAGAAGATTCAAGAGCTCTTATTGACAGCAAATCAACCCTAGCACCTCACCAGCAAAAAGCCCATGAATGGCGCCGCTCGATCTTACTTTCATTGGCTTGGCGGTGCAGAGGCTTTGCAAAAACGCTTCCACTTTCATGGTCTGTGGGTCAGAAGCGGGCCAGAGGGGAGATGAAGGCATACCGGGGTTCTCAGATGGACACATCCAAACAGCTTGGGGTGGTGAGCACGAGGGTAGCTAGACCGCAGCTGGCTGTGACGGTGTGCTTCAACTGAAGATGCGTCGAGCTTCAGGAGCTCTCGGTGGAGGGATGTTTTGGTGCTTCAACACCAGCATCATTCACTGGAGGTCTCCAACACAAGGTCTCCAACCTCGAGAAACCACCACAAGGATGGTGCATGTGCCATACATGGAGTGCTTGGGCACACCTTGTGGGATTCCTCTGCTGTTTGCTTTTTTCGGCGAGGTCAGATTGCATTCCTGGCCTTCATGGAACCCACAGGCCGACGTCATGAGTCATGGGCATTAGTTGACTCATGTTGACTCTATTCTTATAGCAACTGGTTTCCTTGGACTCCTCGCCTTCTTGATAGCACGCTCCTTTTTCTTAGACGAGGTGTTGGTTGTCTACTGAAAATTGAAAGAGGGATTTGCACACTTTTTAAAGTACTTGGACTCATAGATGGACCTGAGTTGGGCCTGCCTTCATCTCACATGCTTGCACTTCCCCATGCTTTTCGACAGCTCCGGAAAAAACGCAACGGAGCTCTCTTCCCTGCCAGGCATCGTCTACATGGCCTATGCGACTCGTCGATCGGGATCAGCTCTGAGCCTTTACCACGGTGCCCCCAGCGGTCGGTCGCAAGGCTCAGCTCTTCAATCGCCGCTCTTCCATTGAGAGCTCGAGACCTTTCTTCCGAGATCAACCTATATAAGAGCAACACTTTGACGAAAAGCGTGTTCTTTCTTTACCCCATTCCCACCCCATAGAACACAAAAGAAACAGAAACACAGATAAAAACCCGTCTTTCTTCCTCTTTGCATTGAGTACCACCGAAAGCTGCTCCGGAGGAACCCTCCCCACTCCCGCGTCTCCTTCTCTCCTTCGGTTCCGGTCCGACGGTCCGTCCGACGGTGCAACGATAGCAAGTCTTGTTACTACTAGGAACAAGTGCCACGCTAGTAGTAACAAGTGCCTTACTAGTAGTAACAAAAAGCTATTAGAATTAATTGTTAAGCTTAAATTTAAATTAATAGCTTCTTGTTACTACTAGTAAGGCACTTGTTCCTACTAGCGATGCACTTGTTCCTAGTAGCGATGCACTTGTTCCTAGTAGCGATGCACTTGTTTCTAGTAGCGGAGTGCTGAGGTGGTGATGTTCCTGGCGCTGTGGGTGCCGGTGGTCTTCGTCTGGGGCGCCGGCGTCACCGAGCTCTGGGTGGTCTATCTCCAGTGAGCAGACTCGTTCGGGCGTGGGGACGACGTTGTGGGGTCAGAAGGGTCAAAAACAAGCCCAAGAACAGACTCATGTCACTACTTACTAGCTTATGTTGAACACACTGTTCCATGTCGGTGAAACATGATGAATCCAAGTATTCTTGGCTTTCCTGAAATCTTTTTGTTTCCTTCTTTGACCTTTGAAGCCTCAGCCACTTGGGTCTTCCATTTGTCACAGAGACGTTCCGGGTCAACGGCTTGTCTTTTTCTCCGGACGCCTAGCGGACGCCTGGCCGGCCGCCTACAGCCTCGGGGCCGCGCAGACTGTGAAGGTACATCTTGGGCGGCGTGGCGATTGGCCTCTTCGAGGGCACCTTCTTGAGCGTGATCAGTTCGTCCCGACGCCCGAGCGAGCTGAACGGAGGGAGCGTCGTTTTCATGAGCGTCCTGGAACGTCCGTTTTCGGTGTGAAGCGTGAACGGAGTGCAGCGAATAGTAGGGGCATGTTTTCGGTTGGTCAGGTGGGAAGCAGACCAAAAAGAAACAAGCAAAGAAGATCAAATAGTTATCCGAAGAATGACAACACACCAAAAAGACAAAGAAATCACACCAAAAGGATCCAAAAGATACGTTCTTTTCTTATCGGTCTTTGGGAACCAGGGGGCATCATTTCCAGATTTGAGCTCGCTGGACCCACTTTCGGCGCGCGGCCAGCCTCGGACCTACTCTCCTGAGGCTCGGGAGGAACACCAAGACCTTTGCGATCATGGGTATCTGGGTCTCGTGAGTTCGGGGAGCGGTCGTGGAGTCGAGGAGAGAAGCCCAAAGAAGGGTGAAGATGAGGGGCTCCACCTGAATGATCACAAGGTCTGTGGAGATTCTAACCTTCTATTGATGCCCCTCTACTCTAGCCCGAATTTGCCGTAGTTGTTTTTACTAAACTCGTTTGTACATATGAGGTTTGTTGCAGATTCTGCCCACCGTCAGACATGCTGACGCTTGCAATGCAGATTTGCCACGCATTCCATGAAGCATAACTTACATCGTGAATTGAGGAAGAGGATAAAGTTAATTCAACTGCCCAAAAAACATAGAGTCTAGAGTCTAGAGCAACCTCAAAGCAAGTCTTGGTTTGTCAATACATGACTTATGTTTGCCTCCCTCCTCAACAGACACCTGGATAACCTGGAAAATGTCGCGGGCAGATCGCGTTTGGGGGGCTAAAGTTTCAAGACAAGGGATATAAAGCTGTTGACCATCCAAGCAGTTGATGTGATTTGACTCATAGATCTCCATGCCTTAGTTCAACGAATCGTTGGCTGTTCTATTGGACGCCTCAGCGGGTGCTTCCTGAGGAGCGCCCCTGGGCTTCTTCGTGAACAACACGATTCTGGCGCTGCTC